ATCTTTTATTAGGTAACTGATATCTTATTGCATATATGCAAATATTTTGCCTTATAACTGCTATATATGCAATAAAAAGTCTCTCAGTCACAAATCTGCCATATTATGTCTATCGGGTAGGATAGATGTAAATTAGCCTATGTTTTTAGTTACGGCAAGAAAACTCATATACTCTACCTTTCATCTTCGTTCTTACAATTCACTTATCAATTGGGCTTATCAATTATTATACTTATCAATTGGGCTTATTATTTTACTTTAATACACACCCACAACTAAACCAATTACTAAACTTTAAAAAGGAATTTGAGGTTTTCTTATTCAATTGTGATGATGCTGGACTATATTGACTTTAGAAAATAAAGAATGTGTAATTCAAGTGCCTTTAAAATGTTACTTAACTATATTGTTCGATTTTTAGGCATGATGATTATTTGATGCATCTAAAATTGTTCTGGAGGCATTATTTTTCTATGGAAGGACTAGTGATTATCTTTTGGAAGATAAAAGCGGCTCGAGACATTACTTTCTGTACTCGTTATGAAATTTCTATTAGATCTTATTTGTCTGGTTTTGTGGTGAAGTTGTAATAAAATATTATACAAATTATGGTTTTTAGAAAAAAGTATTGGACCATTGTTCGCTTTATTTAAAATGTATCATTTTTTTTTAGGGAAAACAAAGCACTTGGGGCACTATTTTGTATTTAGCCCAGGGCCTACTAATGTTCAGGACCGGTTATGGGTCTCGTTATGGAACAATTACGTCGGAGTTTCTAACCGTTAGATCAACTATCTCCGACAATTACACGATGATCTAACGGTTACAAATTCTGACGGAATGGTTCCATAACGGGACCGTAGCATTCCCCATTATATTATCGTTAATTGTAATTTTTTTTTTCGTTTTTTAACCTTTTAATAGACACAAAATACCCTATTATTCACTTCACGAGAGAAATGAAAAAAAGGTGCAACTTATTTGGGAAAATTACGTACATGTAGTCTTGTGTATATATATTTACATATATACAACCATTGCAAACTTTAATTAATAAAGGACTCTATTGTGATTTTTATTGCACAATTACGAGATTTCAATTAAATACAATCTGATGAGTTACTCTCTTTCCATATCTCGATCATGGCAAGAAGCACCCGACATCAACGCTAAAAAAAGGGAAGCCTAGAAACAACCATCGGTCGGCCGATCACTATCGAAGATGGATCTCTACTGTGTTTGAGCCTGTTCTTCCTCAATTCACGACTCCTTCACAGCAGCCATGGAAGCCTTCTCCGAACACCATGTCATTTAGCCTCCCCCTTTATTCCCCCATTTTGTCCGACCTAATTCTATCCGCGAATCGATCGTCCTCGCCATGGATCTCGATTTATTTCACGGGAAAAATATAAGCGATCGTGTTGTTTTGTGAAATTGATCGAGAAGTATACGCTGAGAAAAAAATCGAAGGTATATTCATGTTTATGTTTTTTTTTTGGGTGATCAATTACGAATTTTTTGTGTTTTTTTTTGTTTACTTTGTGATTTCATTGTGTTGCATCGAGTCATAATCAGTTTATCGGAAAAATTCGGAAGATGATGATTTTACAGAGGAATCGCCGAGCCAGCTGCAGACTATGTTGAAAACAGTGGAGTATACGGAAGATAAACGGGAAATAAACACTCCAGAACACTCCAAAAATAGTGAAGTAAGATAAACGAGAAATAAACACTCCATAACACTTGGAGTTTTGGTCGATGGATACATGAATACTGATATTGTGGTCGGCGAAACTTTCAAAGATAAAAGTGTTCATGTGTCTTAATGCTTCAATTAAAGGGTTTGAATCATTGTAGGCCTACTATTTTTGTCGATGGTACTTTCTTTAGTTTCGCGTATGGAGGTACGCCAAGGCCGGTGTTTTAGATGGGGTGTGCTTTGGCGGTGGCCAGATGGGCTAGCTCTGCTTACGACCACGTAACTGTGACGGTGGGGATTTCAGTTCAGATTATCTGAGTTTTGGCAGTGATTTGATGTTTGGTATGAGAAAAGCAAATCTTTGGCAAATAAAATCAATATATTCATCTACCGTTTATGTTAAGTATAACTGTACATATACTTCCTCATAACCACGAAAAAATATGTTTAGATATACTGTATATATACATTAGATAAACATGGTCTAACATTTTTCTAATATTACCTGCATAGTTATACATAAGATAAACAAGATATAAACAACACTAAAACGGTATAAAACACATAATACACAACTCTGGACGAACGACTCGACATCTAAAGTGCGGACAGGCTGCGAACGAATTTCTCGGCGACGAACTGTCAGGTTACGACTTCGAATGGCGGCCGAATCACGGACTAAGTCCTCGGCGGTGATGGCGGACGAGGCTGCTATAAGGAACTCGACTCGGCTGGGCCCGTGATGGCGAACTGTTCGCTCGGGAGAACCATCAGCGGCTCATGAAAGTGCTGCTCGGAGGACGAACGCGTTGTTGCTCCTCGCGCGGAAGATTGCACTACTCGGGGATGATGGGTGTTTGCCGGAAAGCGGGTCACAACTTACGTCTCGGCTGGGGGCGAGTGGATCTCGACGATGGCAGCGCGTGGCCTTGAAACTCGCGACTATGGCTTCTCAGAGGGGTTCGAGTGTGAGGTTTCCTCGACAAGGGCTTGCTCGCAGCTATGGCATCTAGTGTTCTTCTCTAAGCCATTGACGAAGATATGGATGAAGAAGGACATAAGTTATGCAGGTTCCTAGATTAATTTGGTCCAATTCTCATTAATTGTAGGTCAGTTAAATAAGTTAAATAAATTATTCCTAATACAAGTATAATTACTGAGAAATCTCGTAGATATAATAGTAAGATTCTTCACCCGTAATTTTAATATTAAGATTATAATGATTAGTAAGGGAAGTAAATTTCTCAACTTATTTTATGTTAGATGCATGATTCATGTGGGCCCACAAAGGTAATAGCCCAATTGGTTGACAACGGGCGTATTGGCGGACGTCAATAGTACCCTTGGAGCCAACCTAGGCCCAATGGGCCCCCCAACTCTCAAAAAGCCTGATATGGCAGCGTGTTCGTAAAACTAAAGCGTACGTTGAGTGTTTTACCGATTATGCCCCAAGCGCTTTTTGCAAAGGCTGAAAAAGTGAAGAGAATATTTTGTAGAAAATATAAAAATGCGCGAACCCATGAAAAAACAACCACGTGAATCCCAAGGACAATAACGTCATTTTGTTGAAGGCAATATTTCGAGTAAATATTATAAAAAAGACAAGTATTATGATTAGTATTTGTATTAATCAGCTTTACGAACAAAAGCTGTTATTAGTACATTTTTCTCCCTTAAAGAGCATTTAAGTGGAGAGAGCGTGGAAGGATTAAGAATTTTTTTTTTATTAATTAAATAACTTTTTAGGATAATTAATAATTATTTAATGTAAAAAATTTGTTACTGATGAAATAAATAGTAGAAAAACTAATAATTATTTTAATATAAAGTGATGTGATATAATGAATAATGATTAATAACAATGAACTCAAACGCACTAAAATAATATTTAAATTGTTATAAATATATAATTAAATATTATGTGCAGAAATTATCATCAATTATTATACTAAAAAGGGTTAGAGAGACATAAAACAAAAGTAAAATAAATTGACAAATTGACAATACATTTTAAGTTGATGAAATAAATAAATAATAACTGTGCAAAAGTTCATCTATCTATAGCTTTCCCATTATTACACCTACGGGTGTTATTCAGCCGAGTTCGGCTTATTAACTTAACGAGCTCATAATTGAGTAGTTTATCAATATTAACAAGTTGAGTTTGAAGCTTAATTAGTTAGAATTGAATTTTGAACGAGCCGAACTATAAAAAGTTAAAACAAAAATCATCATTTCGAAATATCGAGTTTTAAATGAGTCGAGCCATCAAATGAACTGAGTCGAACTCGAATTTTAGTGGGCAAGCTGAGTCGAGCTCATGAACGACTCGTTTAATTTAACAACTCTAATTAAACCAGACAAGCCACCCAAAATAATTTACCAAAGTTGCATTTATTCATTGTCGGGTCTTAAGCCAAAATACTGATGTTATTGTTATAAATATGATATTATTATTAATCATATCACATTTTAAAAAAAGAAATTATTATTATTATTATTATTAATTTCCCCATTACTATCCCAAGCACAAGCAAGCCAGATCAGAAGATCCTCACTCCTCGGCGTCAGCAAAATCACAGCACAAACCTCATTCATACACATAATCAGTGGCAGAATTTACTTCACAGAGAGTTAAACAAGAGAGAATGTGAAAGATCTAAGGAAAAAAAAAAGAAAAAAAGAAAGTAAAATGGGGTGAAAGATGACTGAAAAAGCAGCTTAAGTGGTAGAATTTCTCAATCCAATTTCTGGGTTTCATTTATTTTTCCCCCTTTGCAAGTAATTTTTTTTTTTTTCGTTTAAATTTATGTAAATTTTCATGTGTTTTATGAGTTGTTTTTGGTCGAATTTGTAGTTTGCAAGTGTTTTGAATTGTGACATTGTATGAAACAAATACTTCTTTATGAGCTTGAATCATGGGATTGTTTTGATGGTCCGAGTTTTAGACCTGTGTTTGGACATGAATTTGGATCTTCATTTTCGTGAATCATAGGTTTTAGCTCTCTGTCTGTGTGTGTGTGTGTGTGTGTGTGTGTGTGTGTGTGTGTGTTTTGGTGGGTGGTGAAGTTGTTAAAATCTTTGTGTGTTCTGTTTCATTTTTTCTTTAGTTATCGTCAATGTATTGCCTGATCTTGAACAGATGAATGAGTCTCTTGAGGAAGCTGCCTCTTTTTTGTTAAAATTCATTTCTGCTGTCTTTATTAGGTGCAGAGGATTGGAGATTTCAAACTCAGTTTTGGATATTAGTATTGAATTGTGGGTGCTCGATTGAAGTTACTTTGCTTCTGCTGCTGAAAAGATGGCGAAATTATCGCATACGGATTCTCGACGAATGTATTCCTGGTGGTGGGATAGCCATATTAGCCCGAAAAACTCAAAATGGCTCCAGGAGAATCTCACAGGTAAAAGGATTATCTTTCTCGGTTTGTGAGCATGTGCTCGAAAAAATCTCACAGTTATCAAAAGCTTCTTTGGGATGTATGTGTGTAGTTGAGTTTGTGCTTTTATGACCATTCAAGAATCACATATATCATTTGTTTCTATACGTGTTTCTATATCGTGAAATTATGATGATATTTTCGGGGAAAAAAAAAAAACCGGCAAACAAATCTTCATTCCATTTGTGTGTTTTGGGCAGATATGGACATTAAGGTCAAGACAATGATAAAGCTGATTGAAGAGGATGCCGATTCGTTTGCAAGGAGAGCTGAAATGTACTATAAGAAAAGGCCAGAGCTTATGAAGATGGTTGAGGAGTTTTATCGAGCCTATCGTGCACTGGCCGAGAGGTATGACCACGCGACGGGTGTTATCCGGCATGCTCACCGAACAATGTCAGAGGCTTTCCCGAATCAAGAGCAATTGATGATTGGCGAAGATTCCCCTATGATTTCGACCCCGGTTAGTGATTCTGATGTGAAAGTAATTTGTGCTGAAGTAAAAACTAAGAAATAGGAATGAAAATCTGAAATAGTTTTGCTTTGCCTTTGGGATTTGATATAGTTATGCGGAATTAAAAGAATCATTTGTCGTTTATACCTTTTATTAATCACAAGAGTTGGGTTGCAAACAAAATGAAATTAGACATTAATGTTAGTTTGGAAAAATGGTTCATTATTAACACATTCACTCTTTCTATAGAAATAATGATCAGAGATAAAACATAATTTATCTGAACTTCTCAAATGATTACTATTTTTATCATTATTATCTGTTTTGATCTTACTCTCAATATGGCACCAGATTGGGGATATCGTGGATGAGTCCGATTCATTCACCCAAAAACAGACTCTGAAGAAGTTCAACGATCCTATCCGCTCAGTCGAGTGCATAAGAAGGGGTTTGAATTTCGATGAGGCCGAGGAGGAATTACTGAAAGATGGTAATTACAGTCGCTCCAAGGATGAAAATTCGTCAAATTCCGAAGAGATTTTAGCGTTAAAGGAAGCTCTCGCAAGAGTGGAGGCTGAAAAAGAAGCTGGTCTCATTCAGTACCAACAGTCTCTCGATAAGTTGTCCCACATCGAAACCGAGATTTCTAAATCCTGTGAGGATTTCAAACTGCTCACTGATAATGCCAAGGCAGCTGAAAATGAAGTATCCATCCTGAAGGACAAAATCGCCACATTAGAATCCGAAAAGGAGTCTAAGCTTCGAGAGTACCAAAAAAACATCGAGAAACTCGATGGAAGAGCAAATACTGCTGAAATCGAGGCACAATCCCTGAAAGAGAGAGCTGAAAAAGCAGAAAGTGAGGTAAAAAATCTCGGACAGACCATATCCGAACTGAACGAAGAAAAAGAAACTGCGGCCGAGCAGTACAAACAGTGCTTAGATTTGATTTCGAGCCTCGAGCAAAAACTTGCATGTGCCAATGAGGAGGCCAATCGCCTAAATAATGAGAATTATCATCTGAAAGAAACTTTTCAGAGGGAGAGTGGCGAAAAAGTGGCTCTTTTGAAGACGAATTCGACTCTTCTTGAAGAGAAAGCTACACTCGTCTCACGATTGCAAGAGACGAACAAGAATATCGAGATCCTCTCGAAGAACAACTCGGTGCTCGAGAATTTCCTTTCCAATGTTCACCACCAGCTTAAAGCTCTGATGGCTAAATCGAAAATCTTGGAAGATTCGTGCCAGTTTCTTCTAGACGAGAAGGCTGGGCTGATGAGTGAAAAAGATGAGTTGGCCTCTCAGCTGCAGAAAACTCTGGCAGAGCTTGATGATCTTAAGAGCCTGTATGCGGAACTCGAGAGGGAGAATGAATCGAGTCTTAGAAAAGTTGATGAGTTGAATATGTCCCTGGAGGTTGAAAGTAGAGAAAATGGCAGCTACATTCAGATGAGCAAAGCTATGTTAAATGAAGCCGAAGCTAAGATGTGCGTTTTACAAGACGAACTCTATCATGTTCTTGATAATTCCATGTGCAATGAAATCGAGACATTCGTCTTGTGCACAACTGCTCAGGTGCTGAAAGAAAATAACTGCTTGTTGTTCATAAATAATCAGAAACTTTCGGAGGAATACAGTTTTTCAGAGAAGAAGATCTCACAGTTAGAGCAGAAGAATGTCGAGCAACAATCTGAAATCAAAACTTTGGAGGAAGAAAATCTGGGGTCGTCTGTCGAATTGTCGGTCCTTGTTTCATTGATTAAGGAATTAATACTCGATTCAAAAAATCTCGAGACGGTTAAAAACAAGATAGAGCATGAGATGAAAATACTGTTAAGTACTGTTGAGGAGTTAAATTTGAAGTTGGTGGACATGCAACGAGAGAAATCCTTTACTGCACAGGAGAAAAGATCCTTAGTGGATAATATCCAGCATTTGGTGCGAAAAAATGTTGTCCTTGAAGAGGAAAATCACGTACTATGCAGTAAAGTGTTGGCTTTAGAGAACCTTTACTTGATTTTCAAAATCTTTATGGATGAGAAATTTGTGGTATTTAGAGAAATTGTGGGAAAGTTGAGCTGGGCAGAGGAAAAGTTGGTAGAATCGGAAGTCGAAAATCTTAATCTCAAGGAGAGGCTACAGAAAACTGAGGGCGAGTTCAAATTTATTACCGCAAACAGAGATCAGTTAGGTGTTGAGATTGAAAATGGAAATAAGTTGTTGAGTGATATGGCACTGCAGCTTCATGAAGCAGAAGAGAAAATAAGTCGAGTAGAAAAACAGAAAATAGATCAAGACGAGACACTGCAAAATTTGAGTATTGAGGTGCACAACAAGACGAACGAGATCAATGAATTGGAAATGCAAGTTGCATCTGTTTTTGGTCAATTGCAGTGTTCAATTGTTAGTCAGCTTCTTTATGAGCAGAAGTTTAACGAGCTCAATGATTTGTATCTTGGCTATATCGATCAAAACAAAAGCCTTAAATCTCAGTTGGCTGGTTATGATCATGAGATTCTTTTGTTGAAGGAATGCATATCATCCCTTGAGAACCAAACCAACATACATATCAAGTTTCCAAATCCCGAAAATGAGGATTTGAAGGTATTTTTCGACACTAAGATTGATAAAATATATTGCATTGTACAATTTTTGTACTTTATCTCGTTAATTTTCTTAGCTGAACCATTTTTCTTTTCTGAGCATTTTTTTTTTTTTTTTTTTCTGTAACTAAAATATTATGTACTTCATAGATTAGCTTAGCATTAATACAATCTCTTGCTCATTGATTAGACTGTTTAGGTTTTATTTTCTCTTTTTGTGTTTTGAACAACCGATTAGTGAACAAAGCTCCGAATAGCCTTCTCTTGAGAATGACCCAAGGTCAAGTAGCTCGGTTACCATCTACCCCCAAATTACTACTAAACACATATCAGCTTTCCAAATCCCGAAAATGAGGATTTGAAGGTATTTTTTGACACTAAGATTGATAAAATATATTGCATTGTACGATTTTTGTACTTTATCCCGTTAATTTTCTTAGCTGAACCATTTTTTTCCTAGCATTCTTTTTTTTTTTTTTTTTTTTTTTTTTTTTTTTTTTCTGTAACTAAAATATTATGTACTTCTGTTTTTGTACGATTTTTTCTCAGGCTACCGACTTGCATGACCTCACAGTTAGGCTTCAAGCCTTCACAAAGGCTGCATTCGAGCTGAAGAACCTAATGTTGCAAGAAAATACCAATCTGCAATCCAAGCTACACGACACCACCAAACAACTCGAGTCTCTCCAGTCCAAGAATCGGTCCAAAAGACACGAGCTCATGTCCGAGATCACCGAGCCCGATCACCGAGCCCACGTCCTCACCAAAGACATAGTCCTCGACCAAGTATCCGATGGCTCGTCTTACGGCCGCATCAAGTCAAAGAAATTGATCGAAACCGTTGACTTCGGCCTTCTCGAATCGACCAAGAAACAGAAAGTTACAATTTTGCCCCCGGACGAGCTAGAGTTAGAAATATCGAATGTGTCGAGCGGCTCGGTCGGGCCCACGGTCAACAAGTCGAAGAAAGTAACCGAAACCATTGACCTCCGCCATCTCAAATCGACCAAGAAACAGAAAATTGCGATTTTACCCCCGAACAAGTTAGAAATGAATTTGTCGAGCGAGTCCTTCAAGGATGGGAACACAAGTAGGAGGAGGAGGGTCGTCCTGGAGAGGCTCGACTCGGACGTGCAGAAGCTCGCGAATCTCCAGATAACTGTGAAGGATCTCAAGAGTAAGCTCGAGGCAATCGAGAAGGGTAAAAGGGGAAAAGCTGTTGTTGAGTGCGAGGCTCTCAAGGGGCAGCTCGACGAGGCTGATTTAGCCATTATGAAGCTGTTTGAACTCAACGGGAGGATGATGAAGAGCATTGACCACCGCAGATCGTTTTCTTCGGAGAAGTCAACTTCGTTTGACTTGGATAATGAGGGGAGCTCGATGAGAAGGAGGAGAGTGTCCGAGCAGGCTTGGAGGATGTCCGAGAAGATCGGGAGGCTACAGTTGGAAGTGCAGAGGGTTCAGTTTGTGTTGATGAAGATGGATGATTTGAGGAATAATAGGATTTGGGAGGGTAAAAGAAGGATTTTGCTGAGGGATTATCTGTACGGGAGGTTGGGACAGGGGCAAAAGCGTAAAAAGACGCAGTTTTGCGCGTGCGTTCAGGCTTCGGCTGTTGATGAGTGAGCTCTCCCGGAATGCGTATTTTCTCGTGTTATAATCGGAAGTTATGTTGTGTTTATCGTTGCTTTTTCTTTGTTTATAAATGGGATTCTGTTTTAGTTACAAGCAAGCACTTGTGTTGTCTGTGTACATTGTGCTTTCAGCTTTGGTTTACGATACCTTAATTTGAGAGGATGTTAATGAGCCTATCATCATAATGCAAAGAACAAAAATACGTTAAAAAAAAAAAAAGTGCTGCCTCCCGTCGTTCATCATCTTGCGCATTGCTAGCACCCTCCCACCGCGACCGTCGGCCGGCGAAGATCAGCTTCTGTGGGGCCAGTCTGATGACGGGAGGTTCACGACCAACTCCGCTTACCGATCGCTATCATCCCCGATGAGGGACCTGGAACAGCACCTCTGGACGCTCATCTGGCGGGCACCGGCGACTCAACGGGTTCGGCAATTTTTGTGGCTCGTGGCAAAAGGGCGTCTCTTTACTAATGCGGAACAGGTGCGGCGACACATCTCGGACTTGCCGGATTGCGACTTCTGTGGCGCGCCCGAGTCGGTCTTACATGTCCTTCGAGACTGCCCGCTTGCGACGAGTGTGCCGACTGCTACCGGGCAATTCCGTTGGCCATTTCTTCGCGCAACCTTTGTTGGATTGGCTGCAATTTAACCTCTCCCCCGGCCCGAGGTCCTCGACTTCCACTTGGGAGATAGTACCTTCGCACATGCAACGTGGAGTACTATGTGGAGGTGGCGTAATGATCGTATTTTTAATCATCATACCTTGAGATTGCTGAAAGGAAGCTAGAGATCGTCCGGATGACGGAAAAACTGCACCATTGATCCACTAACTTTTCCCTAGTTGCACTTTCGTCCTTTAATTGTTTCTGATTTATATATGGTACACTAACTCTTTTTTTTTTGGCAATTTTGGTCCAAAATCACATTCCGGTGACCATTTTGCTGATGTGGCGCCCGGAG